ATTTTAATATATATATATATATATATATATATATATATATATATATATATATATATATATATATATATATATATATATATATATATATATATATACATATATATATATATATATATATATATATATATATATATATATATCGGTAATAAGTACTAGTACTTTGGGGAAATTGGAGATTTTGGCTGGCTTTCTAGCAGAATGATGCTAGTAATTTTAGTCTTTGTTTTCCTACACTAAAGTGGTCACGTATGGACAAAGGCAATCACGTATCGTAGTTTTCTTCTCTGAACAAGAATTACACATAATACGTCTTCCTATACGCACATCATTTAACAAGACTATCAGAAGTGATTCAGTAAAACAGTAGAGTACATTCATTTTATCATATATAGGGCAAATATTCGACAAACTGTATAGCAATTCAATAAACAAGGTCAGGCATTCTTCATATGCAAAAAGCTACTTATATTCGTTGAAAACCAGGTTAAAATTATGCAGAATGAAACCAATCTTATATTTACCACTATTGAATTTCTACATATAACAAAAGTCAAAGTTAATCAGTTCAACTAATAAAATAAATACTTTTTTCTGGACTTCTCTAGACTAGAGATTAGCCGCTTCACTGCTTTCTCCCAATATGTCCAATAATAAGGGGATGAATAAAGCTCAACACGCACAGTTTCTTTCAGGGACATTTTAGGGCCGTTAAACGGCCCCAAAAACTCAATCTTGAATTGAGTTTTGAAACTCCATCTTCTCACCAAAGTTTCAGTGTGGTAAAAATGAAGTTGTTTGAGTTAAATTCGTGACTTGTGGAAATTAGTTTTCAGTTGGAAACCAGACAATTAAAAGAAATGGCCGGAATTCATCTCACAACACAAGAAAAACTATGCATTCGCCATCTTTAACCAGTTTATATATAGTGTCCCTTTATAGTGCCCCTGCTTCAACACATTCTGTCTCAACTACATTTATTGAGTACAGGTGTCAGCCCCCCAGTAGGGGGTTGGGAGGGGGGGGGGGGCAGCCACCCTAGCTGCTCAGATAAACTCAATCTTCTCTGCCAAAACGGACCCAAGAGAAAATCATGAAAAAAACCCTGACACGGTCTACATATCTCCATGACTATATCTACAGGTTAAGTGTTATTAAATGTTTCGTATCATGGTACATATGGATGGTGGTCAAATGTATGAAAGGGAATGATGCCAAGGCAGTTGACCTTCATCATGTACCGTATATACTGTCTCAGTAAAACCCACCAATCAGGGATAGCTTTTTCATGTACATTAAAAATCATCCTTTTTTTATAAAATATTTTTACACTTCCTAGAAGTTTTGAATCTGTTTACAATTGTTCATCTTTGACTGACATTTCATCAGTATAAATGGTAAAGATTGCAACTTCATTAATTTTAGTGTTTATAGTTGAATCGTTCATATCCTTGTCTTGCTCCTTGTCTTGCTCTGTAGTCTGTGAAGGTTTATCCAGTGCAGTATCCTCTTCTTTGACTTTGACAAGAGATACAAAACCATTCATCGTCAATAGAATGGCAATGTAGACAAACACCATAGGAAGAACAAGAAGTCCTTTGTCTCCTGTACTGTCAGGTAACACATCAACAACGGTAACTGCCAGCGTTAGAAGTCGAGTACAACCCAGTATAATTGACAATGTCACAGCTGATTTTTTTGAGAACCAAGGTAAGATTGAGATAAGACAATAACTTGATAGAGCATTAAATGTTGTAAGACTTGTTCCAAGCGCAACCACGCATAGAATGTTTACAACGGAAACTCTGGCTAGATTACCACTTGCGCTCGTTTCACTCACTTTAACTAGGAATAATCCAATAAGGAAGTTTTGTCCAAAGTATTTTATTGTATTGTTCCATTTTTTGACCACTTTCTTTACAGGGGGCACGCAACGCAAACATCTTCCAATCTTTAAATAAAAAACATAAAAATAGTTGAACAACTGAAAGCGATTCGATTAAAATTGTGGTTAACGGGGTTAAAGCAACTTAGAAATTCCTAGTTCTAAATAATGTACAAAATCGTCCCTTCTCTAGGTTCCTATACTGAACATTACTTGTTTATCAGATTGTTTAACTAATGATATATATACTAAAACTGTCTGTACCAGTGTTGGTAGTACCAATGGGAAAATGCTGTGATGAGTGGTTATAAACAAAATATGTAAATCGCATTACAGAATATAATATAATTAAGAATATAAAAATAAACAGGAAGTTAAGACAATTACTACAAAAATAATCAAAACAAAACACGAGTGGGAATAAGGTAAAAGTAATAAATAGAAGTTGTCAATGTCTGCTATAGACAGGCAAAGACAGATGGCATCATAGACAAAACAGAAGACATGTCTTCTGGATTGTCTATGATGGCATTAAACATAAGAAAAGCGTCCATTAATACCAGAAGGGTGAACAGTGCCAAGTTTGGATATGAGGCGCATTTCATGTCGTTTGCGGCTATCGTTGCTTCCAGAAATGGGACAGAGCAGGGGCGGCGGAACAGGGGGAGCTAGGGGGCTAAAGCCCCCCCCCCCCCAGAAGTAAAAAATTTAGTGTATTTTTTGAAAATTTAGGTATGAGGGGAAAAATTTGCAATATTTTGTTTAAAAATTGTGCATTTCCGGAAAAATTTTTTGTTATAGGTCCGGAAAAAAATTTTTCATCCCTTTTCTTGTATATGTCCGGAAAATTTTTGTACCCCTAAAATGGTACACTGACCGAAATTTTTTGGCGACGTGGGGGGGAGGTCACGGAAAAAAAATTTAGCCCCCCAAAATGAAGTCTGTTCCGCCGCCACTGGGACAGAGGGCTCGAATTAACATATCTGAAACACTGTGATTGCCATCATTAAAATGTCTGGCAACAGGTTGGTTAGCATCATTGCCAATAACTGCACGCCGATGCTCACCAAAGCTTGTCCTTAAACATCTTCCAGTTTCCCCAATGTAAAGCATGCCACATCTGCTGCAAGAGATGCAGTAGATGAGATGGGAGGAGGCGCAAGTGAAATGGTGCTTGATGTGAAATTCAGATTTAGGTGCCGAAACTATAGTGGTGGAATCTATAAAATCACAGGTTTTACATTTCGACGACAGGCAAGGAAAAGTGCCTTTCTGTGACGTCGAAGCCTGTGTTAGGGAGCTATGGACAAGGGTTTCACGGATATTCTTGCTGTGTCGAAAAGAGACTAAGGGGTTATTGGAGAAAATGGAAGATGTTTCAGGGTCGTTTTTCAAATTATGGAAATTCTTGTTGATGACATCTCTAACTTTGAAATTGAAAGGATGATAGTTTAATACTAGGGGGATTTTGTTGTTGCCTGTGACATTAGATACAGGGTCTGTGAGGGTGTCAGAACGGGGAATTTGCGAGGCCTTCGAAAAGGCAGTGTCTAATAGAGAGGTAGGATAACCACGCTGGACAAAAAAGTGTCTCATCTCCAGACTTTTGGCCTGAAATTCTTCGTCTTCACTGCAGATGCGGCGAAGACGAAGGAACTGAGAAAAGGGAATCGACCTTTTGGTGTGGCTGGGGTTGGGGTGGGAAGAGGAAAATAGAAGATAGCTATGGGAGTCAGTGGGCTTGTAGAACACAGAAGTAGATAGTTTGTTACCATTGATTGATACAAAGATATCTAAGAATGGTACACTGGTCTCACTGATCTCCCATGTGAACTGGAGTGCTGGATGAAAATTATTAACAAAGTTAATAAAGCGTTCCAATTCGACACGAGAACATGATGCTGTGCCAAGACAGTCATCTATGTACCTACCAAGGTAATCAGGGATGGGATCAGTGTACTGTTCGAAGATTTGTTTTTCCACAAAACCAACAAACAAATTAGCATAGTTGGGTCCCCATTTTAGTTCCCATTGCCACACCATTTATCTGTTGGTAATGCTCACCATCAAAGGAAAAATTGTTGAGGGTAAGCATCAACTCAGCCAATCGGACCAAAACAGAAGTGGCCGGTTCCTGGTTAGGGCGTTTATCTAGAAAGAATTTGAGGGCCCTTAAACCATCATGATGCGGAATTACAGTGTATAAGGATTTGACGTCCATGGTGAAAATGAATTTGCGAGTGCCATGAAAATGAATGTTCTGGAGAATTTGAAGAGCATACTTGGTATCCTTGATATAAGATGGTAAGTCCTTAACCAAGTGTGCCATAACACGATCGAGAAAACCGGAGATGAGTTCGGTGGGACAACCACAAGCAGATACAATAGGTCTACCTGGGTTGTCAGGTTTGTGAATTTTGGGCAGAAAGTACATGACAGGTGTGCGAGGTGTGATGTGTATGAGGTTTTTGGCAGTCTCAGCGGGATCACCAGTGTTGATAAAGTTATGAATGGTCTGAGTGATGGTGGTTTGATGAATGGAAGTCAAATCCTTGTCAACCCTCCTGTAAAAAGTGGCATCACCCAATTGTCTGTGGGCTTCATTACGGTACAAATCAGCTCTCCAAACAACTAAGGTACCACCCTTATCAGCAGGTTTGATAACAATATATGTCATTACGAGCATGGAGTGATTAGAGGGCGCTAAATTCATTGTCAGTGAGGTTGGATGGCCTTTTGGGCCTAAATTTGAGGAGTTGTTCTATATCATGTCGACACTGTCGAATGAATAGTTCAAGGGACCCATATTGGTCTTTTGGGGGGGACCAGGAAGATTTTTTGGAGTTGATAGCCTCAATAGCTCCCTAACACAGGCTTCGACGTCACAGAAAGGCACTTTTCCTTGCCTGTCGTCGAAATTTAAAACCTGTGATTTTATAGATTCCACCACTATTGTTTCGGCACCTAAATCTGAATTTCACATCAAGCACCATTTCACGTGCACCTCCTCCCATCTCATCTACTGCATCTCTTGCAGCAGATGTGGCATGCTTTACATTGGGGAAACTGGAAGATGTTTAAGGACAAGGTTTGGTGAGCATCGGCGTGCAGTTATTGGCAATGATGCTAACCAACCTGTTTCCAGACATTTTAATGATGGCAATCACAGTGTTTCAGATATGTTAATTCGAGCCCTCTGTCCCATTTCTGGAAGTAACGATAGCCGCAAACGACATGAAATGCGCCTCATATCCAAACTTGGCACTGTTTACCCTTCTGGCATTAATGAACGCTTTTCTTATATTTAATGCCATCATAGACAATCCGGAAGACATGTTTTCTGTTTTGTCTATGATGCCATCTGTCTTTGCCTGTCTATAGCAGACATTGACAATTTCTATTTATTATACTTTTACCATTATTCCCACTCGTGTTTTGTTTTGATTATTTTTTGTAGTAATTGTCTTAACTTCCTGTTTATTTTTATATTTTTAATTATATTATATTCTGTAATGCGATTTACATATTTTGTTTACACTTTGCTATTATTAAATCCATCTAATTGGTTTATTTTTTTGTCACGTGATGCTTTCATACTCTTAGTATAAAAGCCCGTGCATTTTCCCCGATCCCTGCTACTAACTCTTGACGAATGGCCTTCGCTCGAAACGTCGAGTTTCTGCTTATTTTTTAAGGTAGTAATATAACCGCTCAGCACAGCATTTTAACTAATGATACAACTTTCGAAATGTTAATTGGATTTTGAAGCAAGTAGAATGTTGAAACTCAATATCAAAAAATGTTTCATAAACCTACAGACTACAGTACATACAGTATACTCACCACTAAAGGCAACAGTACTCTGAGTACAGTATCCAATAACACTTGACCAACATTTAGACCAACATGTTGAAAGGTTGGTAGAAACCATGTCAACATGGGAGGGATGGTAAATACAGCTATGATGGTGCACAACATTGCAACCAAGATACTCAAACCTCGGTGACCGTTTGCTGCTGTCACCTACAGTGAATAGTTAAAAGCAAACGTTGGCAAAGGTTTCAACGCATGGGTTACTCGTAGTATCTGCGCGTTTCAAGCTAAACCCCAAACTGGGGAGGGCGGGCAATTGTCCCTTTTTAGTGTCAACAAGGGCAAATCAGCCATTTTGTCTTCAAAGGCGTAGAAAAGACAATATATAATCAAGATTTTCTCTAAACTGTTCCAAAAATTCGCAACATACAACTCTATTACACCCCATCAATTTCGGATAGTTTTACTCATGAGTCATGCATAACTTGAAGAAACTTTACTGGCTTCAGTGCTTAAAATAGTCTTACTATTGTTCTTTATAGTGTACGAATATATATTCACCAAATGAAACTGCATGTTCTTGATGAGAACTTGTTCTCCTATAGTCCTAATTAACATTAACTAACTTACCAGGATTAGCGAAATAGCGGGCGTCGTTGGACAAACAAAATATATTTGCAAAGCAAGACGAAATTCCTCGGGTCCAAGAATTGCCATTTCTTCGGAGGAGTTCGAACTGTTTCTCCAATTCTGGTCATCACCAATTAATGAACCAAAGTTTGGAACGTGGTTAAGCACGTTTGTTGCAAAAATTGGACCAACAAACAGGACCAAAACCAAGCCAACGACGACCTCTTTATAAAATTTGACCGCAGACTTTGCTTCAACAAGACGTATCCGTACCCCAATGGTGAGAAAGAGAACAATGATGCAAATTTTTGCAACTGGCATTCTTTGGCTGAGATAGATTGCAGGTTGAGGAAGAAATATTCCGATGATTATGGACAATATGATTCCAATAGCTAGGTAATTTCGCATACAGAAATTCTTAAAACTTGTTAAGATACTTGTTTTTTTGAAATCTTCATCAGCTTCTTCTGCTTGCACCACTTCTACGACCACATCAGATTGGGCCATTTTTCACCTCGAGTATATGAGTACCGTGCAGTTGAAGGTGTTCAACTCAATTGGATGTTTTGGGAACACCGATATATTAAATGTTTATCTACACGTACACTTTTGAATTTTTGATGAGTTTCGATCACGTATACGGGTGAAATTCCACAAATACCATCGTATTTCGATTGTTAGATGAAGTCATGAAAATTTCAAGAGGGTGCATGTTGCCTCACGTTTCGACAAGCAGTGAATATAACTGAGCTGGAAGGTTTGTAGTTAGCCTACGTTTTGATGAAGAAATGGATATCGAGAATAAAATTTCTACGTGATATAACATTTCTCGCTTATATAATCAATTTAAACAAAGCTATAAATAGCGGTTAATGAAGTAATATGTTCTAGAACATTCCATTTGCCCGAGAGTGTTTTCAGTCTACCAACACATCTGCGTCACAAAAAGCAATCCGTACAAGGTCCAAGTACCTTGGCAGAACAAGGAAACCGTTTTCTATTCCGGTTAATATTACAAAATATCAGATAAAAATCGAACTTTGGCTACTAAGCATGTGAACAACTGATGCTAACTTGAGATTAACCAATCAGAAATTATCCTGAAGGTTTTCCTTCACGTGCATACATACAATGCCCCCCTTCTTGCGCAAGGACTTTTGATCGTTTCGACGTGCATTGTTTATTCGCAAGACTTTAGCCAGTGCGTTAACATCTCTGGCAAAATTTTTAGCTGATAATTCAAGGGATAAAAAGCTTGGCAAAGAAGTGAAAGTTTGGAGAAAAAAACCCCGCCCACCCAATAATCATGTACACCAATCTGCGTTTCTACAATGGCGTATTGTAAGGACTGTTAACTAGTAAAATGGACGTTCCTGTTAGACATGTTACTCATAGATTTGTAACCCACTTGTGTAAAAAAAATGCAATAAATATTTAATTACTGGCAGGGAAGTGCTGTCCGATGGACAACACTTCACCACGTGAAGCGCAATCACTGCTCATTCAGGTCGCACTGAAGACCTGAATGAGCAGACCTAGAGACTCGATGTGGTCAATCAGGTTATCAGTTGCGGCCCGGGGTAATCTGCTCTATACCAGTCCAACTAGGTCTCAATGTCGGCGGCCTGACGGATCTGCATGAACGGGGATTCGCCTGTTCCCCTGTTATCTAGAGGTCCGCATGTTCCTCTAGAACAACCGTTTTTGCATGTATCCTCAGCCAGCTTTGAGTACCCTGGGTAATGTGCCCTATACCAATTGTTGTTCACCAGTCCAACTAGGTCTCAACTCGCTGAATGACATGCTCAGAGTCAAGCATGCCCTCTGAAAGAGAGAGCAAGGTAAAACAGAGAGCCATGGGTAACAGGCAGTAGAAAATAATTAATAAACAAAAAATAATGCTCTACAATGCGCGTTTAGTCGGGCGTATAAAGTATGTAAATATAATGATGTCTATTTACGAACTAGTATGTTAGTAATGCAGCCAAAATGTGTCTACATTTATGATTTATAGGCGAAGTATATAACTTTGCAATCTACCAAATCTTATCTATTGACTTTTTCACCTCGAGTGTATATAAGAGGTCAACTTTTCAGTAATGCGCAGTTGAAGGTGTTCAACTCTA